AAAATGTTTCTAATATTTTTTGTTACTGAGTTATCATGATTTAAAAAGAGCATTTTGATTGAGATTGCTCATAATTCCGTTAAAAATTGTACTGCAATTCAAAGAACAAATTCTTATAGTTGAAGTTTTGCTCTATCGAATATATATAATTGCCAATTTTTTTAAAAAGCATTTAAAAATGATAGTAAAATTAAAATAGCGTTATAAACTTTCCACTCCGATACATTTATTTCAATGCATTACATACACATATGATATGAAATATTTTAATTATTCATATATACAAATAAAATATATTAAAATGTTATTAGATAGTTTACACATTATCATTTTTATATACATATACATTTTTATATATACATAAAACTAATTATATTTGTAGATATACCTTCAATAAAGCTTGTGTCTTTAATACGCTTTCCGTCTCATCGTGAATAGGATGCGCTGATTCAGTTAACGTCACTTCTATAGTTACAAGCACGTTTACATGTGCAAATCCAACGTTTGGAATAACGACAATTTTTGATAGATCAAAGTTATTTATAATCTGATTGGGTAAAGGCACAACTTTAAACTTTGATCCATGCCAAGCTAAAGCGATTATTGTTGAATTTTTTAATTGAACTAGTAACAAAGATTCATCCCGATATGTGTTTAATGGTATAGTAATTATCCACAAAATTTCATTTGTTTCTGTGAAATAAACATTTGTTTTTATTTGTTTTATGTTCAGGGAAGAATTATTATCTCTTAATAAGATAATAATCCCTGCCTTAATAAGATGAATTATCATTTTACCATCAAAATGCAGATTTGTGTCAGAATTATCTTGAAATTCGTTCTCAAAAAAGTGAAATAAACGCGGTTTCCCTCCACTAATTGCTAAGTATTCAACATAACCACTCTCAAAGCAGACAAAATTTGCGAGTTTGTTGGATTTGATAATTTCCAATTTTTTATACTGACACAATTTATCTTCATGTTTCGATTCGTATAAAATAACACTTTCGATTCCTTGAAAAGCCAGCACGGTGCGTCCATAAATTGGACAAACTTGAACATCGAATACTTTTGGAATAAATAATCGCTGACAAAACCTGTGTGATATATATACATTTTTATACATACACTGGAAAAAAAGATTACTTGCTATAACAATATAGATAGTATAAAACATGACCTAGCATTTTTATATGGCTGCAACAACCAGTTTTTGGTTATAGCAGCAAATTTTTAGTTGCATTAGTCCTCGAAATCATATATCTGACATTGCAGATAGGCTAACGCAACTAAAAATTTGCTGCTACAACCAAAAACTGGTTGCTGTAGTCATATAAAAATACTATGCCATATTTTACTATCTAAATTGTTACAGCAAGGAACAATTTTTTTCTTTCAGTGTAAATATTGTATTTATGTATTTGATATTTTTTTTTGTAGACTGCCGTAAAATTTAATTAACGTACCTATGTCTAAAATATTAATACATGTAGAATTGTAATTAAAACAAATTTTAAATTAAAAAAAAAAAATTTTTTTTAACCCTTAACGGGGCGCGCTGTAGCACAAAATGCCACAAAATTTTTCTGAAAAATCATTGATAATTTTTTTTATTAAAAAAATGGGCCTTTTTTTATTACCGATCTTTGGTCCTCATTTAATGTCAAATCTCAATCATAAAATAATTCAATTGTAGTATTTTTTCTATTAAATTGGCTAGCCTTTTATTCACTTTAAAATTAGTATTACACATTTTGCGGCACGGAGTGCCACGCATGCCTCAAAAGTAAAATCTTGCTTACATAAATAATTGTCACAATATGAGATGTTGAATCTTTCTCCACATTTTAAATTATTTTTGTTCATATTAATGTTTAATATCTCTTTAAGTTAGAATTAGGTTAAATTATTAGGTTAAATAAATTAAAATTACTATTAATTTATAATTACCATTTTTACACTGAAAGAAAAGATTAATTGCTGCAACTATTTAGATAGTAAAATATGGCATAGCATTTTTATATGTTTACAGCAATTATATAAAAATGCTACATTTTAATATCTAAATTGTTGCAGCAACAATCTTTTTTTTCAGTGTATGTTTTAAAAGATTTATTTTTTTATCATTATTCTACAAAAGCACTGTTATTATTTTCTTATTTTTAATTATAAATTAATGTGACTATTTTTTTAAATCTCTTAGTTTTTATTTTATTTTTAATTTTTTAATTACAACTAATCAAATTTTTTAAGAAAGACACAAAATTTTAATATCATAGTTAAATTTTAATATTATACACACACCCACACACACACACACACACACACACACACACACACATATATATATATATATATAATTACATATATTCAATCAATTATTTGTAATTAGTTAATTTTAATTGCAAATTTTCTTTGGATCTTAATGTCTTCTTTATGAAACAGTCTATAATTCAAAATCTTCCAGAGAAACTATAAAATTTGATTGCAAATTTTTAAATGTATTTAAAATATGACGAATATAGAGGAATGAACCAGAGCATATGTTAGTGCAGTATTACTTCAATATATTAATAATAAATTTAGTCCATTAAATAAAATGTAATATTATATTATATACAATATAATATTACGATAAATAAACAATTAATACGTATAATTAAATAAACGGAATTACCAGATATCGATACGATGATTATTATAATCAACATCAAAACCATAAACATCAATCAATGATTGATCTTCGAGATATGTATCATCATTGTCGAGTAGCAATAATTCATGTTGATTCTTTTCTTGTACAAATTCCATATCTTGAATTTGTTTTTGTACAGGCCACGTCGAATACAAAATATACGTATTTCCGAAAATATTATACCAATACAGAAAACAACCATACTGGGTTTCAACTAGTACAACTGCCATTAAATTGTTTCCGTGGCTTTCATTAAACGTAGCTTTAATATTAAAATTGAGAACTTTAAATTGTAATATGTGTCCTTCAGTCGATACACTTATAGTACGTTCAATTGACAAATCATCCCAACTAATTTTGTAAAAGATCAACATCGATTTTTCGGCATAAATAAAGTAACTAGTTTCTGTTTGCAAAAACTGCCAATTGTTTATTGATATGTTAATGTTTTCAGTTATATCAGTAAGTGTATGTAGTGAAATATTTGTCACAATAATTTCTGAAAATAGAAATACTTTTTCATACTACGCCGTAGAAATAGTCAAAAAGTTATAAATTATATACATAATGAAATATAAAATCTATAATATATTTTTTATTAAATGTTTATTATTAATAAGGTAAACTTAACCGTATTTAGATTTTAATTATCCCGATCTAATCATGTTTAAATCAAATGTTTCTCTTCTAATTAAAAAAATTTATAAAAATTATGCAACAATTTGTACTTATTAATACTAATTAAGTGTTAATATATTAGGTGTTGGAATTAATTCGTAGCGTTTTACAAGTGATGGGAAGTACTTTCATTAATGTATTTTTTAATGCTCATGTGAAATAAATAACATTCTTTCATTAAAAAACGCTACGAATTAATTCCAACACCTAATAGAATAATTATAACAATTATGCAACAATTTGTACTTATTAATACTAATTAAGTGTTAATATAGAATAATTATAAGTATTATAGAAATTATAAATATTCAAAGTTTAATAATAATTACCTTCTCGATTTCCTGCTCCTGTACCGAATTCATATTCTTGCCAAATTATCGAAGTATCTTCATGATCTCGAGGCCTTCGAAATGATCTAGTGTTGATGAGCATTTCGTCTAATGTTTTAGACATTTCTTTTAAATCCTGGCATTTTGCGTTATTTACGAAAATCCATAAAATAAAGCAACACCATACGACAAGACCTTTACTCATTGACATTCTGAACACAGACTGAAACTTAACTGAGAAATTCTCACGACCGATGTCTCGTAAATATTCACACACGACTCACAATATTTTGATTTTCATAGACTACACCTGTAGACTTCTAATTTGAATTTCTTTAAATTAAATAGGTCAAAGACTGAATTTTTATTTCTAAATTAATATCAATGTTAATCTGCAATTCTTCTTGTTGTATTGTTAATAAATTTATCATTAGAATTATTTATTAATACATACCAATATTACAATATTGTTATAATAATATAATTTTAACAACATAAACACTTAAAAATTTATTTTTAATATTAAAATCTTATTGTTTAAAATTAATAATTAATAACGATATAATAATTTAAAATACAATGTTTGTCATAGTTACAGGATATTAAGAAAAGTTTAAATGATTTATATAGAATTTGTATAAAAACTTAAAATATTCTATTTAGAATTTTACTGTAATTTTACCGAAAAGCAATTTAAAAAATCAAAATATATTATATATATATATAAAATTTAAAAATTAAAATATATATTGCAGAAGATAAAGGCAAAAAATCGTCAGATTTTAAAATGAAAATACGATATAAACAAAAATAATTAAATATGTTAGATAAATAAATAAACAAGAAAAAACCACGAGCTAAATTGAATGTTTATATATATATATATATAAACATTCAATTTTTAGCTTATATATATATATATAAAATGCTAGATAAATACTAAACCTTATATTATACATATAAAAACAAATGTTTCAATCACTATCATTTACAATGTTTAAATATTGCCTAAAATATTAAACTATTGAATACAATTTCGATATGGATAATAAAATAATATAATAATCCTTAATTGTATTAATTATTATTTTACGCGTTTTATATATCGCTCGCAGTTTTTCTTATGTGATGGAACGGATTGGCCAGTAATTCAATTCAATTGTCTAAAATTCTAGTTTGATTGTAAAAAATGAAACAATTAAAGTTAAAAACCTGAATAATTGCAAATCTAAAATTCTAGTTTGATTGTAAAAAATGAAACATTTGAAGTTAAATACCTGAATAGGCCGTTCATTGTTATGTAAAATTATATGTATTTTGTAATAATTATGTAATTTTTTTGGCAGTTTTGCTGATGAGAACTCACTTAACCATTTATAATGTACGATGACGTTAATATATACAGAAAGAAAATATGTGAAAAGAAAAGGGAGAAAAGAAAGGGAGATAGAGAAGGTAAAAACATTAGGAAGGGGATAACGATTGAAGATTGGAAGATATGCATTCGATAATGATTCTATATCGCTTTGTTTATTCAATTCCTGTGATTGTCTTTTTATGTAAACCACACATGTTATTGTAACGTCATCGTATATTATAAATAGTTAAGTGAGTTCTCATCAGCAAAGCTGCCAAAAAGATTATGTAATTGTTACAAAATACATATAATTTTACATAACAATGAACTGTCTATTCAGATATTTAGCTTCAAATGTTTCATTTTTACAATCAAACTAGAATTTTAGACTTGCAATTGTTATATGAACTTTAAACTCATTTTTATTATTAAAACGTATTTATTAATTTATTAGGTATTTCTATCCATGCTAACATAAGACTTGGTTCACATCATTAGAAACACATTATTTTACATTATTTTACTTGCATTGGTCATTGAATTGAATTACTGGCCGCTGATCCGTTCCATCACATAAGAAGAACTTAGAGCGGTATATAAAACGCATAAGACAATAATTAATGCATTTAGGGATTACTATATTATTTTATTGTCCATATCAAAATTATATTCAGTAGTTTAATGTTTTAGACAATATTTAAAACAGTATTGGCTGCGTTCAGCAGAAGAAATCGTTCACTGAGCAAAAAAAAGGGATTAATCTATAACTAATATGTTTATTTATTATAATTCAATATAAAGACTAAAATGTAAGGGGAAGTAGAAGTCGGTGCGATAATCGGTGCGCAAGTATACTTAATAATGGAAATGTTTATATGTCCATTTTTAATATAAAGTATAAAATATAAAAAATTGGTATAAAATCCGTATGCATTTCGATTTACTTCAAGTCATTCTCAACGGTATCAATATAATTCTAATTTAGCACAAGTAGCGCATCAATCATTGTGCCAACCATCCAACATCACAAAGAGATTCTTTAGCTTCATCCCAGTTTACAGGCCAAAAGGAAACAAGAATTCTTATAAAGTGAAGCTATAATAAAAATGAGAATGTCATAGATATATGTGAAATTATTTATTAAAAAAGAATCGATAAGCACATAGACTGACACTCACCGAATTGATGCAATTTGTGCTTACACATACAGTAGTCAACCAGTAGAATATAATATTAATTTTGACAATTAGATGAAGTAACAAGAGTGATCTAAATAATTTTTTCGTTAAATGAAAAGAATAAAATGTAACAGTTGTTCACTCTTCGGTTAGTTTCAGGGAGACGAATAACAAGTGTAACAGTCGATATAGGCGCTGATCCGAAAAGGAGTCAGCATATACTTTAGTTAACAAAGATCCAACTAAAAAAAGACCAACAAACTTAAAGAGTTACTGACAAAATGAAAAAGATCGAACTATTGTACATCTCGGAATCTATGTATAAATCATTTTTTGGTGTTTTGGTTTTTTGGTGTCCCAAAGGTATACAAAGTGAACTGTCCGTTTAGAATTATTGTATCGTCTATTAACAGTCCACTTTATACATGTGCAATGTGTTCATATAAATTAATTGCCAAAAGTATCACAATCGCGAAGCCACATCAATAATCGTTATGATCTTGTCAATAAGTTAAAAAATTTATACATTTATAGTGACTATAATTTAATTTCGTTGGATGTAGTTTCGTCTTTCACTAATATTCCACTGAACTTGGCCATTAAGAGTATTGAGAAAAGATGGAATTTTATCTCAGAATGTTACAATGTTCCTAATGAATTATTGTTCTCTAGCAGTTCAATTCGTTCTTGAGTCTATTTTTTTTATGTTTGATGAATCGAATTTATAAGCAGAACTTTGGCACACCTATGGACTTCCCTTTATCACCGGTTATCGTTGATATGATAATGGCTGATCTTGAAGAAAATATATTTGATAACATTGGTTTTTCGATCAAGTTTTTATCGTTATATTAACAATATTATAGCAGCGATTCCTAGTACACAAATCGATAATTTTTTAAATATGTTTAACTCTGTATATCTAAGGCTACAGTTCACAATAGAAGTAGGGGATAACAAAATTAATTTTCATGACACAACTATTTTAATTCATAACAAAAGATTAATATTTGACTGGCATCAAAAATCGACTTTTTCAGGTAGATATCTAAATTTTTTCAGACATCATCTGTCACAGAAAAAAGGCGTGATCATAGGTATGATTGACAAAGTATTCTTCCTTTCTAACCTAAAATTTCATTTAAAAAATTTTAGAACTTATCATCATTTTATTAAACAATGACTATCTTCTTGAATTTATTTTTAATACTATGTCTCAGAGAATAAAATATTTTATAAATAATAGTAACATGATGAACAAAAGTAACAAAAAGAATGTGACATCTAACAATAATATCATTTGGTTTACAATTCTTTTTGTTAACAACATATCAGATAAATTCAAGAAGATTATTAACAATATGGTATTCAAAATTGCATTTTATAATATTAATAAATTTCGCAATCTAATCAAAGTGCAGAAAGATCTTTTACCAATTATCGCGCTGAGAAACGTCGTATAGAAGATTGCCTGCAAAGACTGCAAGGCTTCTTATGTAGGATAAACTAGTCGCCAACTACATACACGTATTTCTGAACACCGAAATTATACTAGAAGAAAGATGTCTTCTCATTCGGTCATTACCACATTAGACCACAGATTGCAATTTGACCATGAATTCGATTGAAACGAGGTGCAAGTTTTGGATATAGAAAGGAATTATAACAAAAAATTAACATCTGAAATGTTGCATATAAAAACATAAAAAAGGAGTTTAAATCTCCAAACAGATATTGAATTTTTAGACCTATACGTCAGTTCTGAATATTGGGAATACAAATTAGTTAGATTCGTTTTTTGTGTTCAAAAATACATTTATTTCAAAACAAAATGAATGAACAGATGAATTAAAGTATTGTCCATCGCTGACTATTACTTTTTCCCATCTCTTAGGCAATTTTCGAATTCCATCTCGAAAAAATGACTCGTTTTTGGAAGCGATCCAATTTTGAAGCCAATTTTCGATTTCTGCGAAAGAAGTGAAGCGGTGACTTGCCAAATCCTTCGGAACAACCAGTAATCAGAAGAAGCAATGTCCGGAGAATACGGCGGATGCGATAAAACATCTAATTTGAGCGTTTCCAAATATTTTTTTACGACTTTTGCGACATGAGGCCGAGCGTTGTCATGAAGAAAAATAACTTTATCATGTCTTTGCTCGTATTCCGGCCGTTTTTCTCGCAATGCACGGCTCAAACGAATCAATTGTAGCCGATACCGATCGCCCGTAATGGAATCGCCAGGTTTCAGCAGTTCATAGTAAACAATACCCTTTTGATCCCACCAGATACAGAGCATGACCTTCGAATCATGAATGTTCGGTGTTGATGTTGAGGTCGATTGACCGGGCATAGCGTAGTATTTTTTCTTCTTGGGGTTGTCGTAGAATATCCACTTTTCTCCAGTCACAATCCGATGCAAAAAACTTTTTCTTTGTTGTCTTTGAATCAGCTGTTTGCAAGTGAAAAATCGCCTTTCAACGTCTCTCGGTTTCAGTTCATAAGGCACCCAATTTCCTTGTTTTTCAATTATTCCCATGGCTCTCAATCGTGCAGAAACGGCTTGTTGAGTTACTTCCAATAATTCTGCAAGTTCCTCTTGCGTTTGACTTTGATCTTCTTCGAGTAATGCCTCTAATTCTTTGTCTTCGAATATTTTTGGCTGTCCAGAGCG